AACACTTACCAATTCAGTTATGGTGTTTTAACCCTTTTTCTGCACACTACTAAATTGACCTACAAGCAGCCATGACAATGCACTGTGCACTAGCACTGATTGCTGTAATCACAATAAAAACTATTTTTAAACAGAGAAAAAAAAATTGCAATCCTGTTATATTCGAATAGTGCTCTACAACAAAAATAAATCATTTGCAAGTTGTTTTAACTATTTTACTAACTATTGGGATAAGTGTAACTATGGCGATAAGTGTAATTCACTCACCCCACCACTCTTGTTCTGGAGATAACCTTAACATTTTGGATTTCCCTTCATTTTCTGTTTCAGTGACAACAGTCATCAGGACACATAGAGAAGTGACACTTACGAATGGGGACACAGACAGCAATAAGAACTTGACAGAGGATCTAACCCATGAGACTGACAGCACACAGGTATAACTCCCAGAGGAAGATGCCTGATTTGCAGTTTCACCACAGCTGGAAGGCCAAAGTTGGCCACCCCCGCATTACTGCAACGCAAGGCAATACGCAGCACATTGGATACCCAATGCTCTGCTACAGCAGCAGGCAAGGCAGCCACACTACAGTGCACAAAACCCGTGCACTATAGTGGGCAGAGTTCCACAAGATATATGGAGAGCCCAGAGAAAAGCACGAGACACTGGCACTAATCAGTAGACAAGGCAAATGGAATAACTGGTTGCTGCAGTAGGACAACTGAATGCTTGCTATTAATGACTGAAGTGCAACAATGCCAAGCAATTTCTCACACAAAGCAGCCAGCAGCCTGGATTTCTAGCAGTATGAAACATACCCAATGAACACGGCACCCTGAGCAGCACTATTGACATTTCAGCAGTGTTCATGGGGGCGTCAGACCCCTGGAGAGCCTGGCCACTGCTCTGCATAGGAAAGCCATGGCCTGACTCTCCCATGTGCTGCCAGCACACAATATTTTAACCCTTGCTGCAGCAATCAGCAGTTAAAAAAAAGAAGGGGTAAAAGAGACTGCGTTAGGGCTTATTCATAAGTGTACAGAGGTCCATGTACAGAGAAAAATAGTCTGATCTCTGTGCCTGGTAGCCAAAAGGTGTTGTGTACAGCGTGTCCTTACAAATCAATGACAGGCAGCGGCTGTACACTGGTAAATGCTGCTCTGAGCGTATACTTGTGTACAGACACAGGCTGCAGCTGTACACTGGTAAATGCTGCTCTGAGCGTATACTTGTGTACAGACACAGGCTGCAGCTGTACACTGGTAAATGCTGCTCTGAGCGTATACTTGTGTACAGACACAGGCTGCAGCTGTACACTGGTAAATGCTGCTCTGAGCGTATACTTGTGTACAGACACAGGCTGCAGCTGTACACTGGTAAATGCTGCTCTGAGCGTATACTTGTGTACAGACACAGGCTGCGGCTGCACACTGGTAAATGCTGCTCTGAGTGTATACTTGTGTACAGACACAGGCTGCAGCTGTACACTGGTAAATGCTGCTCTGAGCGTATACTTGTGTACAGACACAGGCTGCGGCTGTACACTGGTAAATGCTGCTCTGAGCGTATACTTGTGTACAGACACAGGCTGCGGCTGTACACTGGTAAATGCTGCTCTGAGCGTATACTTGTGTACAGACACAGGCTGCACACTGGTAAATGCTGCTCTGAGCGTATACTTGTGTACTGATATAGATGTAAACATTCCACATCCATACCTGTATACCCCTTGGAGCAGCGTTGACCAGTGTACAGCTGTGGCCTGGCATTGATTTGTATGGACAGGCTGTACACAACACTCACAGCTTCCAGGGTGTTTTTTTTAATGGCACACAGACCTCTACACCTGTGTGAGCAGTGGTGTCACTATCAGAGGGGGGTGACACCAAAATGGCTGTCATTTTGGTGTCACCCCCATCTGAAAAGTCAGCCAGTCAGTCATGGACCAAGAGTCTGACAGCTGCAGAAGAGAGGAGGGGACCTACCAGCATACCTTACCTGCCAGATGAACGCCCCCTCTTCTCTTTGCAGGCGTTTATCACCATGATGGTGCAGTGAAGTGCACAAGTGTAATGACATATGCACTAGGTGACACCAGCCGGGTGACACCCCTGCGTCACGTGTCAATAGTAAATAGCAAGGATTCACCCAGGCTAACAAGAGAGCCATACCAGTCCCTGTGGGGTCTCCTCCTTGAACCATGAAGTCTTTAATGACGCGATGAAACTTGGTGCCATTGTAATACCCTCTCCGGGCCAGCTCGGCGAAGTTCGTACAGGTCCTGGGCGCGTGATTCCAGTACAGCTCCACTGTGATAGAGCCCATGCTGCAAACACACAATAGAGAACATTACCTACGAGACACCTGATTACATCCACTTGTCTCTCCTTCCCTTCTACTCACCTGGTCTCCAAGCAGACATTTTTCGGCCGCCAGTTATCCCCGGGTGTCCCCGCCATTATTTGAACCGAGTCCTAATACCGGTGCACGAGGGACCTTACGACAAGCAGCAGAACACGTGACATCCGCCTTCACCCCTCGTTCCCGTACACTCAGCTCCGCCTATGTGAAGGGCGACATCTAGAGGCGAGGAGAGGTTACTACCAGCACGATAGTGCAATGCACTGTCAATATGTCTGAAATGCGAGTCTGCGCAAATGGCGCGTACAGGTGACCCATACACTTTCTTGATATTTCAGCCAGTGCGGCTGGGGCCACAGTGTACTGTATATGTAGTGAATGTAATTCTACAGAAAGCTGGCAGAGACTGCAGAAATGTAACAATGTCACACAGGCAATGTCCGAGAATACCCAGTGGGGGAAATATGTCAATACTAGAGCAGACAAAATCTGGAGCATTTGCCATAACAACTAATCGGCTTGTCTTTTCAGTTTGTTCAGTCCAGCTTTGCAAATGAAAGCTAGAAGCTGATTGGTTGCCATGGACATCTGTTCCAGATTCGGTCCGCTCCAGTTTTGATAAATTCCCCCCCAGTGACTCTGAGCCTGATGAGAGAGAGTATATGTAGAGTTAGCTAGCTGCAGCGGCCTGGAGCTCCGCTCATTGATGCTAAGTCTGCATGTTTACAATGCTCAGAATCAGCAACTTTACCGCCAAAGTTGTCCTTTTGTTTGTCGGACAGGGTGGCCAACATTTCAAGCTAAATCCCTATGATGAGAAATAGATAATCCGCGCTTCTGGAAAAGAGAATAAAGTGGAAATGTATAATAAATTAAGACCTAAAGCAGCTCTAAAAAGAGGATAGAAGAATCCTATCAACAGTCGAGAAAAATATATATCAAAGCGCTAAAGGTATAACTAATATGAAACTTAGTATAACCAATTGATATAGTGAAATTAGGGTTTAGGCGGTCTAGCTCTAAAACAAGTGATATGTCTTACATAGAATCATAAAATAAAATGAATAGTACAATAGTGCTGTGGAAAAACAGAAAATGATTGGGACAATAAAAAATTTCAACCACTGTGTAAAGACCTCGAATATATCACAATATATAAACGATCCGTGCAAAAAATATATATTAAAAAATTGGAATAAAATGGTCAACGAAAAATAAACGTAAAAAACGAGTACAAAGGAAGTTGTTAATGATATATATTGATGGTGGTATATATTTCGTAGCGGTGGTCCGACACCCCCCCTTGGGTGGGTACTCACCAAATGGAGTTGGATCGAAGGCTTTTAATTAGTGACACTTGAGCCTGCAATCGTGCTTTCAAACTTGGACCCAGTTGTTTTTACTCTCAGTCCCTGCAAGGTGAGTGTTTGGTTTTTCTCCCTTGTAGAGCTGGCTGTATCCCAGAAGTGACGCTGGATCGTCTCAGGCGCAGTGTCAACGAAACTCCTTGCCGTGGTCCCGCAATATTTCAAAGATAAAAAAAGGAGAGAGCCCTCATAGTGTAGCGTGCAAAAACATGTAAATGTTTGATGATTATTTTATGATTCTATGTAAGACATATCACTTGTTTTAGAGCTAGACCGCCTAAACCCTAATTTCACTATATCACTTGGTTATACTAAGTTTCATATTAGTTACACCTTTAGCGCTTTGATATATATTTTTCTCTAAATCCCTATGATACCATTATTTTGCTGTGCAAACAGCAAGCCATTATAGGCAGAGAATGTACTTTCATTTTAATTCAGCTTCTCTAATGATTTATTTTCTATACTCACCTGCCTTACAAGCTACTCTTGACCATAACGTTGCTTATTCATGGCTAAATAAGTCTCTGTTCTTTTTATGACATCACCCGGAAAGCCGAGCAAACCCTCCTTCCTTTTCCTGATCTCGGTTCTAAATTTACTCCCTCCACGTTGGCAATTTACATACCTCCAAATTAAACACTTTGCATACACCATTTCCACTCACTTGATCTTCTCCCCCTGATCACTACTGAGAAAATGTGCCTGGATGACTCCTGGAATGCAAACAAATCCCTGATGTCTACAAATCCCTGATCACGGTCGACAATGAACCTTTCCCGTAACAGAAGTACATGACAAAGTGGGAGGAGTTGCTGGGCCATGAATTAGATATCGATGAAGTGGGGGAGATATGATCTAAGGCTGGGCACACACCTTACAACCATCGCAAGACTTTTGTCTTGCGATGGTTGTAAGGTAATTAAAAAAACACGTACGATCTGCCTATCTTATGCTGGGCACACACCTTACAACCATCGCAAGACTTTTGTCTTGCGATGGTTGTAAGGTAATTAAGAAAACGTACGATCTGCCTATCTTGGACAGGCACATCGTACTTGCAATGATCGCAAGCCGCGCCCCCCTGAGGGGCGGGCTTCCGATGACCCGCCCGGCTTTTAACTTACAAACATGCTACACACCCTCCGAACATCGTACGATGCTCGGCGGGTTTTCGAACATGTTCGTAAGTTTAAAGTCGTGCGACCTTACAGTAGTAGAGGTCGCACGGCTTCCACACACCTTACGATAATCGTACGATCGCGGGATTTCCCTTGTGTGTGGGCACCCTTGGACAGGCCAATCGTACATGCGATGATCGCAAGCCGCGCCCCCCTGAGGGGCAGGCTTCCGATGACCGCAATGCTGAACGGGCAGTATGCGCTTGTGCACACTGGCCCGTCCAGCTTTTATCTTACGAACATGCTACACACCCGCCGAACATCGTACAATGTCCGGCAGGTTTTCGAACATGTTCCCAAGATAAAAGTTGTGCGACCTTACAGTAGTAGAGGTCGCACGGCTTCCACACACCTTACGATAATCGTACGGTGGTGGGATTTCCCGCGATTATCGATGAGTGTGTGGGCACCTTAATGCAAACCAATCTTCAATTTGTTCCCTTTATAAAGAAAATCAGTGCAAAATTTTCGTTCACTGGTACCTTACTCCTGATCATCTTCACTCATTTAACCTAGCAAGCCCCTCAGTCTGCTGGCAGTGTAATTGGGCTACTCAAATGTGTGATTACTGGAAGCAAGTGGTGTCTCTAATCGAACGTCTGTTGGATACACAGATCCCAATACACAACCCTATTCATTGCTTATTAGGCCTTCCCCTTCCACATCTGACTAAACATTCCACTAAACTTGTTAATCATATTTTGACTGCAGATAGATGTCTAATCGCCTTAAAGTGGAGGCAGACCGTACCACCCTCTAGTCTCGATCTTTATAGACACATACACGACTTACATAATCTGGAATACCTTACGGCACGCTAAAACAACACCTTACGTTTTAGAAAAATTTGGATCCCTTGGCTGTTAATGAATATTGACATGTAATCGTGGTCCTATTTGGGACCTTGGGTTCTGTCAAGAGGTCGGGTAAGTATGGCTGTTGCCAGGAGGAGGTTGTGGATTTTTCTTCTATCTTCTTTCTTTGTTCCTCTCTTTCTCTTCTTGGTTGGCAGATAGTCTTCCTTCCAATGCCAAGTTATATTATTGTTCATGTGTTCAATAACTGTTAGCTTGTGGATTAAGCTTATTTAAACAGCTATTAATACATTCTCTTTTATCCTTTGCATTGCTAAATATTTGTCTGAACATGTTTGTTCTAATTTTTCCTGTATGTCTCTAGCTACCCTATTATGTACGCTGCTGTGTATTCACCTTGTTATTTTATCATAGAAAAAAAGGTACAAAATAAAAGTCACATAATGTACCAAAACTAGAAGTGTGTTTCAATGGGCATTTGGTGGTCAGTTTTTTAGCGCTCTAGCAATAAGCAGCCTGTAGGTAAGTGCAGTGTAAATGTAGCCACTTACCTTTGACAGCACTTTCAAATAATGCTTCTTATTTAAAGAGAATCTGCACTGTGGCAGTTCCGCCAAAAAAAAAAAGACAAGCATAGGGCAAAGAACTAGTTTTGTTAGAAAGCTCACTGCAGCTGATCTTTTTCATACTACGGATTTACCATAACTTGTTCTGCAATATTCAACAATGACAGAAAGTGGGGTTTTGAGAGCACCAAAGGAACTTCCTTTGGTGCTTACAAAACCCCACTTTCTGTCCTTGTCGAATTTAAATTCTAGGGGTGTGGCACCTACTATTCGGACCCAGATCGAAAACCATCGTCTATATTTGTTCTGCAATATGTCTCTGTGGGTAGGCAGCCATCTTAGTAGAGGCGAGGATTTGCTTCCTCATGTCAGAGCTGCCCCCTTGATGACTGGTGATCTATTTACTGGTTGAGGAATATTCAAGGAGGGAGCAGCAGAAGAGGCGCATAAAGCACAGCTCCACAGCATAAATTAAACAGAAGCAGTGAGATCATTGCAATGAAGTCCCCAGGCACTGCTTCCTTTCCAGCAAGCAGAACAATGAGCAGCAAAGTAGTGACATCCCCAAATCTCACTTCAAATCCTATGAGACTAGCAGTCAGAGGCACAGTACATTAGATGATCTCACACTGCAGATATCCAGCCCACGAGACTCACAGCACAGGAGTGTCTAGGTACCTTCCAAACAAAAGGTAAATCATTCAGGGTACTGCTTAGGCACAAATAATAGTTCTATGTGTTCTTATTAAAATAGCAAACCTTCACTTTTTGAGTTCAAGTTAATTGAAATGGACCTATAAAGGGCAGTTAAAGCCAGCATATTACAAGGAATGACAGACGTACATCTGCATTATATTCTTAAAATACCGTATGAACTTTGTAGCGTAAAAAAAACAGCAGTTTGTCAATTCACTGTCAAATGAGATAATGGATATAAATGTACACCAATACTTTTCTAGGATATTGTAAATGTACAGTCTGAAGAATGTTATTCTGGGACTTTAAAAATGTGCACACATTTCAAGGTGACAGTCTATTTTCCTGCAGCAACTTGTTTAAACCCATGTTTCCCCACAATAGAATTATTGCAGTCTTTTTTAAATACTAAACTTAAACCTGTTGCTAAGAAACAAACATAATGGCAGCTGATCTTTTGCAAACATTTTGTATGCATGATAAAGAAAAGACCAACAAAATAATAGATGTACAGCTACCCTCCTGCAGGCCAGTTAACTTTAATATAATTAAAGTGACACTAAACTCAG